TCTGCTTTTCCGCCGTGGGGTCTGAGGCAGAGGATCCTGAAGCAGTGGAAGGCATGAGAGCCTTATTGAACAGGATCTCTTACAAACACCGCTCCCGCTCCTTGCGGGCTCTGGTCGTCAGGCTGGCACAGTGGGTGCACTTTTGGGGGATATGTGCCTCCCCAAGGCAATGGACACAAGCCGAGTGCCCGTCTGACACCGGCATTGGCTCAGCACATCTGGCACATTTTTTAAAGCCAGGGGAGCCCGGCATTTTTACACTCTGACAGGGCTGAGAGTTCGCACCTCCTAAGTGCCGCCGCTTTTTGTCTGTCAGTGGCTTTCTTTCCGCTTGCACTTCTTTTTTTTCTTTTTTTTTTTTTAGTTAAAACAAACAATAACGGAGAGAAACAGTGAATGAGGAGAAATGTCTCTCCGCGGTTTGTTTGTTCGGGTTTTCTCTAGGTGTTTTTTTTTTTTTTTTTTAAAACGCGGAGTCAATGGAGGTAAAAACAGTAGCTAACAAAAAACACTATTGCTACATTGAAGTAGAAGTGGTTCTTCTCGGTTTTCCGGTTTCTCTCTCTCTCTCTCCTCTTTTTTTTTTTTTTTTTTAAAACAACGAGCTAAACGAGGAACAGTTTCTATTCTTTTTCAAATTCCCCCTCAGGTAACTGCCTGAAGGAGAAGGGGAACCTCTGTTTGAGGAGAAAGGGGGAGCTCCGTCTGCGACCCAAAGCAGATGAGAAGAACTGGCGGGCACCGGACCACGCACGGCAGATGAAAGGCGCGAAACTGGCTCGCACACGCGCGGTCTGGCGCCACACAGCTCTGGAAAGCTCCGATTTGCGGCGCCGGGACTAGCCCGACACCACACGTGGAGCACCCACGGGGACTATCCGAAGAAGAATTCTAAGTTGTAGGTCTCCCATAGAGTACATCTTCCTCCCAAATAGAGCAATCTTTTGGCCCCTCTATTTTTGGGAGAAGACCCCTGGAACTCTTGGAACTCCCACTGGTTTGCATCCTCCACTACTAAAAAAAAATCAGAGGGTGGGTGGGAATACAAGTATTCATATCCCTTAGAGGAGAGAAAGTAGCGCCACCCATTCCTCCTTGTTGCACATGACAGAGGCAGGGGTTTGTAAGAGGAACCTCACAGTGTCCATAATTGTTTTAATAATAAGGGCAATGTAGGATGGTCCCAAGGAGGTGAGGATATCCAATACAGGATCTACATCCTCAGCAATCTCCTCTGCCTGGATGCCCAGGGTTTGGGCTACCCTGTGCAGGAGCTGCTGCAATGATCTTGTAGCCCAATAGGGCTTGCAGAGGGGCTCTTCCCCCTCCAGGTTAGGAGGCGGCCACTCCGCCTCAGTCCACTGAGTTCCCGTAGGCTTACTCTCAGGCCTGTGTTCAGACCAGAGCAACAGTTAGTGGAACAATCACCCTCTTCAGGGCTGTCAAGTCAGTCCTGAGCCTCACGCCAATATTTGGACTGAGCCAACAGTCCAGGCTCTATGGGGACCTGACCCTGCGTCAGGGTGGGGTGGTGAACAGTCAGTGAAGTGGCACAGGCCCTGGTTCAGGGCAGGGCAGCAAACATACAGTTAGTCTACATAGTTGTTAGTTCACAGTCGAGTAAACAAGAAGACATCCGGCAAATGCAGGCAGTTGGCCTGAAGTGGCAGATAGGGGAGACTGCCACTCAGCAGTTGGGTGGCAGGGGGATGCAGACATACCCACTCCACTGTGTCTAAACCTGACTGGTAGGTATGAAAAAGCCTTCTGAAAAACTGTGAGTGTTGCATGAGCCAAGACCAAGCAAAACAAATTAGGTGACTGGCAAGCTGAAAATGTTGCAAGGTGGATCTTAATAGTACTGAATCAAAGGCTAGTCTGTTTAAATAAAATAGGTAGCCAAAGATCATCAATACAGAGGACTGGGACCAGCTCCAGGCTATGCTGGGCTGCCTCTATAGAAAGGCTCTTCAATTGAGCTGAATAAGTCTTCCTGCTCTGTATCAGGATTTCCTGGACCTGTAGGAAGCAGATTTCTGTCTGTAATACTCAACAAGCCAACACTACACCATCAGCTGCAATGAGTTTGGGTCTACACGGAGTATTCAGCCATGGTGAAGAGAGATCAGATCTGGGCAATTTGTGAGCTGGCTATTTGTAAGAGGTCAGTCAATCAAAACCATCTCAGCTATGAACGCAGTACAAAGATAACTCTGTCTTATTTCATTGTGAGTGTTACCCCGGGACACAGAATCACTCACTGCAGAAAGAAAGCATGCTGTAACGACCCCAGACCTGTGCCGTCTGGAACAAAATCATATGGCACTTTGACCCCAGACTTGTGCCCTGTCTGGAACAAAATCATATGGCACTTGATGTTGGTGGCCAACAAGCCAATCATAGGCATCCCCTAATGGGCGGGGGGAAGGGGGGAAGATAGGAATACCAGCATTATGAACAACCTCCATAGCAATCACGCATGTGTGGTAAACAAATTCTCAGACAGGTTGCTGTTGACATCCAACAGATGAAAGATGAATGGTTTACCATGCTGGCATGACCACACTTAATAGCTTCCAGAGGAGAGACCAAGTGTGTGCTCCTTAGTTGTTCACATAGTGCATCACCTACATGTTATCTGCCAAGATCTGCACTGAGTAGTTTTGATGGGGAATTCCAAAAATGATGGTGCTAGGCTATTCTCAGAGGTGACAAATGACAGAACAAAAAGCAATGATCTCAAGTTGCAGTGGGGGAGATCTAGGTTGGATGTTAGGAAAAAACTATTTAATTAGGAGGGTGGTGAAGTTAGGGATGTCAACATGCAGTTGACGTCACAATTAAGCAATAAATCTGGGCTTATGGATTAATCTTGTTGACTACATACACTCCCCGCTTGCAGCATGGGAGGAGTGGGAGAGGAAGCTGGTGCTTGTGAGGAGCTGGTGCCTGTGAGGAGTTTGGCTCCCCACAAACACCGGATCGCCCTTCCCCTCCCCAACCCAAGAGGCAGCAGCAAGGAGGGTGAGGGGGGGGGAGAGAGACTGGAACCAACATACATGGAGAGACAAAGGGTGCAATTTTGGGAGGGTGGGGGCAGCAGTCTTGCGCTCTGGGCACAGGTTGCTTTTCATCCCATTCCCAGACTATCAGAATGAAGGGAAAGTACCTGCATTCTGTGGATGCCTCTCACACCTGGCTGGTGAAGGGAGCTCATGCATTTTTTGGGTTCCTTCCACTATCTCAGTTCTGTGATGACTGGTGGAATTACAAATTCCTTATTCGTCTGGTGTATTGTTGGAAAAGAGATTCAGCAGAGCCACAGCTGAAGGGATAACTGGTGAAGTCTGGCAAGCAGCCACATATGGGTGCTTGATCACATAAGGCCCTATCAGTCACAGACACATACATAACATTGTAGTCAGGTAAAATTCAAAGCTAAGAAATAGCAGGCACATTGAGAGGAAGTTGTCCTTTGGAGAACGTATGCTCTTGCTTACCCAAGTTTATCAAGACTCTTATGAGCTCATGCTGTGATGAAATAAAATGATTTTTTATTGTTCACCATGAGGCCTAGCTGAGGGAATAAAGAGGACAGATTTCAGGCTTGCTGACATGTCCTGCTGGGATCTGCCCTCCATCAGCCAATCATCCAGGTAAGGGTATACATGAATGTGCTACCTTTTTAAGCCAACTCCTAGCCCTGCTCCCCAGGAGCATGGCCAGAAGCTGGTGTGCTGAAGCCAGCTGTTGTCTCGCACTGCAGACTCTGCAGTACAAAGCCCACAGCGCAGCTGGCTCCCTGGAAGCACACCGGCTCCCGGCCTTGCTCCTGAGGAGCGGGCTGCTACCCCATCCTGCTGGTTGGCAGTTGGCTCCCCAGAAGTGGGGGTCAGCATATCCAGGCTGCCAGCACATCCAGGCTTCCGGCAAGCCTGCAGCATGTAACTGTCCTGCTGGTTGACAGTTGGCTCCCCAGAAGTGGGGGTCAGCATATCCAGGCTGCCAGCACATCCAGGCTTCCGGCAAGCCTGCAGCATGTAACTGTGCAACTGCTAAGATTTTTAACAGTTACATATTTACATTATTAATCAATTTTTTTACATCCCTACTACCTTCTTAGATGAGCAGTCACTACCTTTTGAAACTTCATGAAAAATTTTGGTGCCATGAAGAGTTTAAATGGCAATACTTTCTACTTGTAAAGATTTGGCTCACCATGAATCTTAACTATGTATTGTCAGCTGGGTGGATAATTATATGGAAATGCATCCTGCACATAAAAGTCAAGAGCCACGAATCACTCATGGGTCAAAAGATGTGGGATCACAGAGGCAAGCATATCTTCTTGAAAATGAGGTGACTCGTGTACATATTCATCTCTTCAGTTCTAGGATAGGATGAAGACCCCCTTTCTTCCTCAGGATAAAGGCAGAGACCTGGAGTTAATGACCAGAATAATCAAAGAAGTACTCTAAGGGATGCTCATTTCCCACTTCCTTGGCTAACCCACTTCTGTCTCAGAGGCCCCAGATTTGACAGGAACATCAAGAGTTGCCACAGGAATTGTTCTGGAGCCTCTCCCCACCTTCAGGAACTGCCTTGCCCCTTTCCACTGGGATAGCTGACAAACAGGTATTAAACATTATATCCTAAGGTGAAACTATTATTTTCCCTATCCTTTCTCTTCTCACAAAAGCAGAGGCAAGGTGATAAATGAATCTCACTGCCCAGGGTAGAGATTCGTTTAAGGTAAACTGAAGGAGGGTTGCTTTAGCTGTGCCATTTATGTCCTCATTCAGCTGCCATAGGAAGCATCGGTCGCCACATCGGACACTTCTGTTCAAAAGTCTCTGATCCCATTCACAGGAGCACCCTACAGTAGGATTCACAGTGAAACATACTCGAAGAACCACCCCCAATTCAGGCCCCTATTGTGGTATTCACAGTATTAAAACAGTTTGAAACAGTTCCCGCTCCAGAGAGCTTTACATATATACCTTCTTGGAGAGAAGGATGTATCACTTGCTTATGCCTTAAGGACTTCAGATCTTCTAAGAGTTCTTTTTCCAGCAAGTGTATTCTTGCTCGACAACCTGCTCAGAGAATGAAAGATATTATATATGCAATGAAATACTGTGTGCTATGCAAAACAGATAATTATTTAGTGTAATTATTTAATTAATAAGTAGTGTATCTCCTACTTTGTCCTTAAACTTTCTTTTATTGAGGCCAAACCATCCAAATTCTCCCCCTCCCCCGCCTCCTTTTCCCGCCCTAAGGTTATTGAGTGTTACCTGGATCACTTGTAGCTAGCGAGGGAGTCTGTACATTTTGTGATTCTTCTCCTCCAACTCTATCAACAGTATGAATGTCAAGAGCTTCCTACATGCAAAAAGAGCCTCACATAAATGTAAAATACTTTACATTTAAAATGCTCATCTTAACACAAGCTAGACAATAGTCATACCATTAGAACAGATCATACCATTAGAACAGATCATTAGAGTGGCCTAATACTAGTGCTTTGCATTTCTGTGCATTCAATTCCAGTTCCCAATCACACATTCTCTCTGAGCCAGTGAGAACTGAGTGTGCTACGAAAGTAGCAAAACACAGACAGTGCTACAAAATCAAACATTTTAAAACAACTTTTTCTGGGATCCCACAAGCAACAGCCTGGGAGGAGAAACGTATTGTTTTCAGCTCGTAACCACTAAGGAGCTTAAGTAAAGC